ACCAAATTTATAACTTTAAGTAGACATGGCCAAGTGTCACTCGGCCCGGACTTGGCCCGGACCTGGCCCGGTCAAATCCGTTGACCACGGGTCCGGGACCGGCCCGGATTTTAGACGGGCCGTGTAAGGGTCATCCATTTCATGATCCGACCCGGAGGGTCAAGGCGGGGCCGGGTCGACGACCCTTCTTTTCTAATTTTTATTTTTATTTTTTTCTACTATATTTTTTTTTTAAAAAAATACGGACCCCGCACGAGTATAGGCCCGTGCCGATTCAGGGTCAGTGTTTTCGAGCCCGGTGACCCGGTGGGCACGACCCGGCCCGGATTTTGGCCATGTCTAACTTCAAGAACAATGTACATAAGAGCAATCAACTTAACCACTAATAGCTGAAAAGGATCAACGAGTAGTGAAAACGTTCAGCCTTACAACGGCCTAACAGACAAAACAACTCAAGCACTAACACCAGGTTTTAACAACAAAAATACAGGAACCTAACATATTTACCAAGCACCAAATATCCTCAGCCAAGACACTCAAACCTAACTCTATCTGAGTCCTGTTATTAAGAATAGAGGCTATCTCTCTTTTTGCCACACTGCAAGCCACTTCCTTCCAACCATCTTTGACTGCAAGTTCAAGTAGCCATCTGATTCTTCTCAGTTCATCTTCTGAATGAGTCCCACTGTATTTGAAAGTAATAGTCCATTCCTTCAACACCTTTCCTTCTTTTTCTGCAGCTCCCCTCAACAAAACCATTCCACTATATGAATTTGGGCATCGACAGTTAGTAATATAGTGCCTACCCCCAAAGAAAAACTTCCATCTTGGTAATGGTTTATCCACCCCAATCTCTAATGACTATACCTCTCCCCTAAAATATTTGCATTGTACTCCTACCTATCTTTACTTGCTTTGTCCACCAAATCCATTACATTATACCACTCTCCTTCAAACACCTAGTTGATCATAGTTTTTCAAAGCCACCAAAGAAGGTAAAATTAAGAGATTTATTCTATCTTCGATTACTTTGTCCTTCGGAACACAAGTTATCTCTAACCACCAATCTTGAAAAGTAGAGGATGTTGTCTCAATTTCGTGCCAACTTATTCCCACCAGCTTCCAACAGACGTGAGCTCTTTTGCATCTGAAAAATATATGATCCATGTCTTTCTCACCTTCTCCACAACACTGGCAGGTCCCCTCTACTTTTATCCCATTTTTTTGCAAATTGCGTTGACTTTTGGGTACCGGAAGAACTAAAATTACGTTGACTTTTGAAATTACAGGACTAAATAGGAAAATACTCGATCACAGGACTAAAATTGCCACGAGGCCAAAGCAAGAGGACTAAAAATGTAATTTTGTCTACTAATAATTAACTCTAATATCTATGATATAAAATAATTACGCTATTTATTAAATTTGAGTACCTTAAGTACCCGTTGCCTAACCTGCATATGAGTGTGATATGTCAATCGCTTTGTGTCATAAAACTAATTGTTCTTTACCAAAATCACCCGCCACACTAGCATTTGAGCTAGTGTAGTTAATCTTTTTTTTTTTTTTTTTAA